CAACCACAAGAAGCTTAATCCATTTGAAGGTTTCGCACATGATGAAAACCAATTATTTTTTCGAAGTACATTTAAGTGAATGAAATACATGTCTTCGAAATTTAATTATTTTGCTTCCAAAAAATAACGCAGCATTTCCCCAAACCAACCCATTCTACATTTAAACATTGAAAAACAAAATATTTGAGTGTTTTAAAGACGGAAGAATAATGTGGTTTTGCATGCGAGGCTCTCAAACTTGTTTAATAAAATGGCGCGTCTAATGACGATTTTAACGGAATTTGATAATTTGCGTATTTCTTTGAAATAATAGGATATTTTGCCTTAAAAGACTATCCCGTAGTTTTTGTCATGCCCTAGCCTATCTACCATAAGAATATGAGCGAAATCGAATTTTTCACCCTTGCCGCGAAATTAAGAATTTGTCTGATCATTACCGACGGGCACTCTTAATACAGTTCGCACCGATAATAACAGAAAGGAAAGCTTCAAGGGATAACTCATTCGCTGGAGGTTATGGATTTGTAACAGACTTACGAGGTAAATATAATTTGGACACAACAAAAAATGAGTGTTACTAAGTTATCAGCAGACCGCGGAACTGCCGGAACCATTACACATTAAAGAGTGTCAAACTTTTGTATCGTGTGAAGTTCTTGGGCTGATTTAGGGCCACTTCTTTTGGTTTCAGTTCATCTTCTTTGCCCTCTACATGATCCTTTCCAAGATAAATCAACCAAATCACTCCGCACTCCCCGATCACCCCAATACTGAAGATTCCAAACTGTTAAAACAGAGGCTTTAGGAACACGAAGGCGCGCTATGTGAGGAAGTCTTCCCTGGGAAGACCTAGGCTCGTTTGTCACTCACCGTTGACGTGTGCGGGTCAAATTTAAATGCTGGTAGACGAACAAAAGGAGCTAATGAGATATCTATTGTTTACTTCGACCAGCATGATGGCAGGAGGTAACGTGCGAACCACCTACTTCGATCTCAAATTTACCGCCAGATATGAAGACAGTTTCCATTGGAGAAAGGAAATAGAAATCTCAAAAATTCTTGTATTGTGATGAAGACATAAAACAATTTTAAGTAATGCGCCCGCTGTTCACTGCTTTGGAGTAGCTGTAACCCAAGCTGACTTGGCTCTAAGGGCCTGCTTGCATGAGCCGGGCTGGCCTGTTAGCCGGGCTGATTTCTTTTGTTTTGGTGTTCGCCAAAGCGTGAAAACAAATGAAATCAGTCCGGCTAACCGGGCCAGCTCGGCTCATGTAATCAGACCCTTAGAGTTCTACATCACTCCAACCATTCAATCCTGTTGGAGAAACTGAAAGCCACTGGAATATCGGGGTATCTGTTTTCTTGGCTTGCCAATTATTTGTCTAACCGAAATCAGTTTGTCCAGATATCTGGAAAGAAATCTGCCCTACAACCTGTGAAGTATGGAGTGCCCCAAGGGTCCAGCCTGGGACCTAGATTATTCTCAATATATGTTAATGACTTGCCTGAATCCATATTTTATGGTGACCTCTATATGTTTGCTGATGAAACCACAGTTTATACCATTGGTAGGGATACAGACATGATCATCTCTTCACTTCGACGTATTCTATCTCAGCTACACGAATGGTGCACAGCCAACAGACTAATTGCACATGAATCAAAGACTGAAGCAATGATAATATCTAGATCCACCTTTATAGGCCCTCTGCCAGCTTTAAGATATGGCACCAAGACAATCGAGCTGAAGTCTGCATCTAAGTGTCTTGGCTTAACTATAGA